ATGGGTTCGTCCGATCTCCGAATCGAGTTCCGTTTTCTCCCGTGTACTCCAAGCGAAATGTTCTTTTTTTTAAAAAAATGCTCACCCGGTCTATTTATCATGAAGATCAAATCCTCCCGAGTCTTACACCCTGCACACCAACGAGGAAAAACCAGAAAACGACCGAGAAACGAACAAAAGCGCCTAAACAGCTCCAAAAAGAGAAGAACAAGAAACAAAACACAAAAGGAACTAAAAGCAAACAAAAGACTCAAAATGGGGGAAAAAGAAAGGAAAAATAACAAAGATAAACATAACAAAAATGGGACAAACAACTCCCCCACACTAAGACCTTTGTTCGTCCCAAACAAAAAGAAGAGAAAAGAAAAAAACACGAAAACAAGCAAACGAGCATGGTTAACGGTTTCAGATAAGACAAGTCTCAAATTAATCAACTTAGCCGAGGAGAATTTCAATGACCAATCATGCATACCTCAACTACGCTTGAATGCAACATTTCGAAAAGACAACTCTCGAGCACGGGGATATAATATGTATATGCCTCACTCAGTTTCTTTCGTGAATATAGAACTGGGACTCTCACATTGGTCGATCATCATGCATCAACATAAGCTTGCTCATTGTCTATTCATACTCTAAAATAATAAATAATAATGAATTGTAAATCAAAAGGACTTTCGGGTTGCAGTGTAGGCATCGGAGAAGGAAAAATATAAGGATAGAACGGCTCAAATAAACAATCACATCTCCGAGCATATAAACTACTCGAATATCCCACCACCTATCCAAAATCAACACAACAACAATCATTCCCATCAAAACTCCATGCAACAATCATATATGCTCATCTGAATTGCACTTCAAGTACTCAACTTTTTATCTTTCTTTTTTTATTATTATTTCTCTTTTTTTTAAGGGGGTTTGCTTTTTCCTAACAAAACCGAGACGTAAGGACAACACTCTCTAGGTTTAACCATTGGAGGCCATCCAAGTTTCCTAGAGTGGTTTCCCAATACTCATTACTCGTGAAAAATTCCACGAGTAAGCGGAGTAGAATCCTTTCCGTCCGTCATGCGAGTCCCCATTTTTTATTTTTTTTTATT